AGCCAAGGTTAACCCACCACAGTGGCATTGTATTTGCTAAAGTAGCAAACCTGAATTTAGAGAAGCCCTTGAGTAAACAGTCAACTAAACCCATAGGAGATCAGTTTGTCACCTGTTTAAATGCTGTATAATGCTTCAGGCCAAATTTATCATCAGTTAACTCTGCTTCTGTTTACACAATACTCTAACTTTAGATTCAAACAAAGCAGTCTTGTCAGAGTTACAGACCATGAGGGGGAGATGGTGGGGGTGAGGGGGGGCATGTCTGGCAAACATCGTCACAGAAGTAGTTTCCATCCAGGAGGACTTGCCTGTATTTCAAAGGGGATACTCACAGCAGAAGGGAGCTCTGCTTGCCTCCTCTCAAGTGTATCTATGTTGCAATTTGGTCTCTTCTCCCTAATGACAGATGATCGGACGAGGGGGAATGGACTCAAGCTGCGCCAGGGGAGGTTTAGATTGGACGTAAGGAAGAAGTTCTTCACCGAAAGGGTTATCACACACTGGAACAGGCTGCCCAGGGAGGTGGTGGAGTCACCATCCCTGGATGTGTTTAAGAGACGGGTGGATGAGGTGCTGAGAGATATGGTTTAGTGGCAGACAGATACGGTTGGACTGGATGATCTCTAAGGTCTTTTCCAACCTAGTGTTTCTATGATTCTAATATGTAAAACAAAGATTTTACAAGTGGGACTTAGATGCCTGGTAGCACTTTCTGGAAGACATCAGATGACTAAGAGCAGTCAATCTGCTTTTTATAGATTGGCTGAACCTCCTTCACAGAGTTTACATTTCTTTTTTGTGTGGTAAATATTTCATACATCAGGTGAAAGCTTCTAATCCGAAATTTAATATAGACAATAGCTGATGCAGTCTCCTTTGTTCAGTGAAAGTGCTTCATGATTATAGAGTTTGAGTGTTCCCCTCATGAGCATTGCTCTCATCTCTTCGGGAAATACAGTCAGTGTAACAATTATATTAAAAAAGGCCTTAGTAACTGACTGCTGTGTAAGGCACTCTTTCTTTCATTTGAGATAACATTGGAAAATACATCTTGTCCTCACCTGACTGCTGACTTTGTACTGCTTGCTGATATTTTCTGGAGAGGCTGGTACCATCATTACACTTTCCTCAGCTGCTGAAAAAGTGGATCCAAAACCTAAAGGGGAAAGATATGAAAGGGCTGTTAATAATATTGTATGGCCAGGGCTTATTCCATGAGGGCATAACAACTGCATCTTAGTAATGCATCTAAGGATATGCTGAAAAAAGCATATTTGTGGGAATAAAAAGCAAACTTTACAGTAACCACATAGTATTTCATCTGTATTTTACACAAACATCTATTCGTTAGCACATATATTTCTAAAACACATGTATGTGTGTACGCATGTAAAATATAGCTTATGTGAGTTTATACACACACATACATGCATAACCTAAAGCTGGTAATATCGCCACTAAACCATGTCCCTAAGTGCCACATCCACACATCTCTTAAATCCCTCCAGAGATGGTGACTCCACCACTTCCCTGGGCAGCCCGTTCCAATGCCTGACAACACTTTTGGTGAAGAAATTTTTCCTAATATTCAGTCTAAACCTTCCCTGGTACAGGTTGAGGCAGTCTCCTCTTGTCCTGTCTCTTGTAACTTCAGAGAAGAGACCAACCTCCCCCCACCTTGCCACAACTTCCTTTCAGGCAGTTGTAGAGCGCGATAAGGTCTCCCCTGAGCCTCCTCTTCTCCAGGCTGAATACTCCCAGCTCCCTCAGCTGCTCCTCACAGGACGTGTGCTCCAGACCCTTCACCAGCTCCGTTGTCCTTCTCTGGACATGCTCCAGCACCTCAGTATCAGTGTCTGTCTTACAGTGAGGAGCCCAAAACTGAGCACAGGATTCAAGGCGCTGCCTCACCAGTGCTGAGTACAGGGGGACAATCACTGCCCTACTCTTGCTGGCCACACTGTTCCTGATGCAGGCCAGGATGCCACTGGCCTTCTTGGCCACCTGGGCACACTGATGGCTCATATTCAGCAGCTGTTGACCAACACCCAGGTCATTGATAAAGATGTTGAACAGAACTGGCCCCAGCACTGAGCACTCTCTCTCTAGTGTATATACAGAGTACACATGCAATGCCTGTGTGTCTGTATACTCTGTATATGTTTACTGTTACTGAACCTTGGTATGTATCACACAGTCACTCCTTCTATGTAACACAGAGGCAACACCAGCAGGCAAAACCAGCTGTGAATGTCACTGGTCGAAATGGAGGGTCTACATTTTTTAGGAGAGTAAGTGGGATGTTTTCTGTCAAGACTACTGCTGTCCATCTTTTAGATGTTCCCTTTATTCACTTTCTCCAGCAAAGGTAATTTTGGCTTACTTGAACAATCTGTGATGGATCTGGCACCAATGACAGTTGTTGTTCCATAAAAGGGACAAGACAAGCAGTAGGACTTTCCTGAATCTGGTTGATAGTAGTCTCTGGGACAAGGGTAGCAAGGTGTCAAACCTGTACGAGAGAACTCACCTGCAAGACAGGGTACTGCAAGAACAAAAGGACATTGTTTTGAGTGATCACTTGCACGTCGTCCACCCTAATTCCCCTCACCTCTTCCTGATCATTTTCTCTCCTCCCCTCATAGTTCCTCCTCAGACTTAAAGGAACAAGATGTAACCTGCCAGGAATTCACAGCTCTAGGAGATGCTTATTGAAATTGTGCTGTTCGATGACATTTGGTTCTCAAAAGGACTACAGAAATGCTGGGGAGTATTTCTATCTATTCCTTTTGCTGCTCTGAAGACACCTTTCAAATGAAATTTCCTTTCCCTTTTACTTCTCACACCTGTTTTTTAGGTTGTTCCCCCTCTTGAATAAGAATTAAGGACAAAAGACAAGTCTTTTCTGTACCACCAATCCCTGCAGACTATTTCCCCTGGGAATAGCTTCCCAAAGACAGTAGAAGACATCTTCTTGAAGAAAGTTATGGAATAAGCCGTGTTAAAATGCAGTATTCTTGTACAGAAGATGCGGAAGTTCTTCCAGAGATAACAGTGACAAACATCCTGTCATTCCCTGTCTCTTCTGTAAGGAAAAAGGTTTTATTTTCATGTAGGTATCCATCACATATCTACTTTTATTCGGAGAGCATTTGAAATAATAAGGCTACCAGGAAACAACCTATCATTTTGCTGGGAGATGCTGCTTGGCCCACACTTAATCAGAAGCAGAATTTAGTCTCAAGCAGATGAACTGGATTACTTTAGCTGGTGTTTAAACAACATTTAGAAATATTTAGAATTTAATTAAAAATATGTCATAGCCCTTTTTGTTACAAACCTCCACAAGCTGAGACATCCACTGCACCTCTTTTTACCGTTGATGTATTTTCTGGGCAAGAGATGCAATTCCTGGATCCAAATGCGGGCTGATATGTGCCAAGTGGACACGTTTCACAGGTCTCAAGACCATTAGGTGAATACGTTCCCTGCTTGCACTGAGCTGTAAGGCAGAAGGATTCATAAAAGATTTAGGAATATCCAACATGGCTCCTAACCTCTGAAAATAATACTGAAATCACAATACATGTCACAGGGACTTTCATTTCCAGAGTTTACTCTGAAGGACTTCATGGATAAAAAGAGCAAATAAAAAAAGAGTTGTGTGACGTTACTGATAGTTCATTTTTGCATCATTAACCACTTAATTAATTCTCTTCCTATCATCTTCACAGATGATTTATTGCAACTCAGTTACTCATTTTTAATCAACAAAATTAATAATAAGATAATAAACAGGAATTAAAACCAGCAAATTTGTTTTCAGAACCAGTCACAAGGAGAGAGCGGTGCTGAGGTGCTCAGTGACACAGCACTGTAGTGCAGGATGCAGACATTTCATCTTTGATCACCGCAGAATGGAGAGGGGCTGGCAAAGACAAGAATGGCATTAAGTGTACTAGTCCCTGCAAAACGGGCTCACAACCTCACAGAATGAAGACAGAAATGAAACCAAGCCTCAAAGGCCAGCTCTTCTTAAAACATCTGCGCAGCATCCTGCATGCCACAGGAGTGGCAAAACTGTGGATTTTTCTCTTTACACAGGCATCAAGCAGCTGTTAGGACTGCTCCTCATTCCTCAGGCTAACCTCATTCCAATATTCCCAGAACGGGAAACAAAAGGATGCCACCAGACATTCAGAAGTGTCTGTCTGAAGAAGACAAAGTTCTCACCTTTGCATTCAGAGAGGCTCCTAGAGTGCAGATACTCAGTATAGCTACCAGATGGACAACTTTTGCATTCCAGCTGCCCTTCCTCATCTTGGTAGGATCCAGTCCAGCAGCTTTCACAGGTATGATGCTCCAGGGAGTAATAGGTACCCAAAGGGCAGTTGACTGTAATGTCGGAAACATAAGGTTCCCCTCAGAATGCACAATCATATATACTTGTCTTGCCTCTGGAGTTCCCATTTCGCCAAAACCTGTTTATGTAAAATGTAACTCTCTTCCTCAGCAAATGGAGTATCTCTGCAACACTGCAAAGATCTCACTATGCACAGGAAATGGAATCCAATTCATTATCTTAGCTATATCACCCACAAGACTAATTGGGTTAAAAGACTGCATACCAAGCACTGTTTTCCTGCGTATCACCAAGTGTGGATATGCCTGATTTCCCATGGGAGTGGAATCCTTGGTACAAAAGCATCCTTTTTCCACAGGCCTTGGTTAGGAACATAAACATCCTCTGGAAGTCAAACCGCGCAAAGCATTTTTGCAGTTTATTGTTCTGGGAGACCACAAGCACTGGACTGTGTCAAACCATAACCCTCTGCAAACATCCCCTAAAACCTTGCTTTTCAAAAGGATTTTAAATACATGTAAGGAGCAAGTCTGTCTTACCACACATTCTCCCCCTCAGCACAGAACCAGGCCTGCAGAAAAGAAAGGCCTTCTCAGTTTCCAGTGAGTTGCTGTCAGCTACAATGAGTTCGGACGCAAACTGGAAAGAATACATGGGTTCCTTATTGAGAGTCCTATTCAGCCTGTTCGTGATCGTCTCCAGAGTTTTAAGGAGCCGTCGCTGGTTTTCCAGTTCCAATGTATCATTCCTTTCATCAGGCAGTGGCACGCTAGCTGGGATATAAAAAGCAAACACAGAAAGTACACACAATTTTATAGTCAGCACTTCCAGTGTACTCTGGAGTACATCAAGAGCGCAACACTCAGGCTTGCCAGTGGAAAGTGGAAAGCAGGCCATGTGCACAATGCTCTCCATGAACACGAGGCTGTGATCTTTCCCCCAGGCAGAAAGTCTGTGATGAAATGAGGCTATGAATGTCTCCAGAAAACTGTCATCTGCATCTCCAGCACGTTTTGAGAACTGAAGGCTAAGATTTACTCAATGTTTTTCAAGAAGAAGGAAAAGGAGAAGGATGATTTTGACTCCGCTCACCCGTGATGTTAAATATTAACTTGATTTTGTGGTCGGTCATTGGAACATTCAGCTTATGCCTTTTGACTCGGGCAGGTGCTGCCTTTACAGAGGCAGAGAGATGCTTGGATAAGTCGTCTTCTTGCGCTGCATCAACAAAATCATCATAGGAATAATCCAGCTGGTTTGCTGTCCCCCAGCCGGCAGGTCCTGTGAGATATTGAGAAAGAAAAAAAAAAAAAGAGAAGCAACATCATGTGGAAGGTAAGTGCCTGTACTTATTTCTAAAATACCCCAATAGAACGGGATCTGTTTGAAGCTCCAGATGATGAGTGCTGGCTTTGCCACTGCTCAAGTACCTGTTGTACCAGCATTTTGACTAAAGAAAAAAGAAAAAACAGTCTCACTCCTAACTGGTATCCTAGAGAACCTGAATCTATCAGCCAAAGCTTTAAAGAAATACTGCTATAAAAGTTATACATGTTGCAATACATTCTCTTTCTATGTCCTGCATGGACCCTCACCTAACAGCAACATCTTCCTGCTCAATTACAGACAGCATGGCCTATGCCACGTGTCTCTATTGCATCTTCTTCCCACAACTCTTGAATACTACCATTGTCTGCCCTCTCAGAAATGCCTCACAGCATTACCTGATGTGCTTATTCCCCCCAAAACAGGCATTTACTGTTACACACACTGACCAATGCACAAACAGGTGCTGAGCCGTGAAAGTCAGACCCAGAGAAACCGAGAGTGATCACAGCTCGTGAGTGATCGCGGCCCGAGAGCCGGAGCCCGAGGGCCAGAGCCCGAGTGCTGTAGCAGCAGATTCTGAGCAAACCCTATCAGTGATAGCACGACCAGGAAAACTAAACAAACCCACCAACTCCCTCACAAACCAGCCAGCACAGGAGTTAGCGAAGCAGCTAACGCAGGAGTCAGGGAGAGTGTTAGCAAGTGTACAGGAGTAAATGAGCAAGAGAGAGTAATGGCTCCCCAACTCCCCCCTCGTCTCTGCCCCAAGCATGACGTACTATGGCATGAAATACTCCCTTGGTCAGTTTGGGTCAGGTGCTTGAATTGTGTGTCCCCTGCACTGCCTGTAGCGAGACAGCAAGAGCTGGGAATGCAGCTGCAGCGTTGGAAGCGGAGAAAGACCTTGAATTCAGTGCAGGCATTCCCCAGTGCCAGCTAAGAACTTATCCGTACTTCTCTCAGCATAAATCCAGAAACAGCTTCCTAGCAGCCACGGTAAAGAGAGTTAACTCTTTCCTGACTGAACCCAGCACAGAACTCTATAGTTATTTTTAAAAAAAAAACCTTTCACAACATATTGTGTAATTCAGAACAGGAGGAATTAATGTGCATTAAACCTGCACAGCTATGAATTTATAAAATCAATAATTACCGATGGCAAATCCATTTTCGTAATCATAATTATATTCCAAGCAATGTTTCTGTGTCTGATCTTCCAATCTGCAGTCAATATCATCAACATCATTACAGAATGATGGGACCTTCCAACATAAAGAAGAATAACATTAAAAAATAAAACTACATCATCCCCTCCCCTGACTTATACAAACTTCTAGTTAAAGCACTGGCCCTGCCAGTGACACTAGGTTTCCCTTTTCATGTCTCTTATAAGCCTGGCAAGGTCTGCTGAAAAAAGTAGGTTCTATTAATACAGCTGGGAAATAAGAGAGAGCTACTTGTAAGCATACCAGCTCTTTGTATTAAAAGATCTTCTTTATAAAAGAAGATGTCCATTGAGTTAACCACTCTTGCATGTGAAATCCCAAAATACAGAAATAAGTTCAGGCTTGTTTCTCCCTGCCGAAGATGACAGGAGAGCTCATGTGCTTGAAAACATCTGTGTTTTCTCCAGTAACGTAACTTGTAATTTGGTCAGGATCACAACAATGATGTCACACTGTTTCTAGCATTCACACCTTACTTCTTCATATCCACCTCTCCCCACCCATGGAAAGGGACTCCTGCATTCCACCAAGAGACCTCAGAGGACAGGGAAAATCATCTGGGAAGGACAGAAACCACAGAAGAGAGAACTCGCAGAAACCTTTCTGGTATTGTTGTTTTCTTCTCTCCACAAAAGCAGTGGAGATTAGATAAGAATAGATGAATGCATGATTTTTGGTAAAATTTGTGTTTCTTGCTTTTTCCAGAAAGGTTTCAAGCAAGCTGGGCTCTAGGTTGTGTTTTGGAATTGCTTCGCTTTTTCTGTATCAATTTTCATCGGAAAGATGGATCCTGCTGATTACTCCCCAGCTTTCAGATCTCTGCTAGAATTTCAGATTCTTGGGAACAGGAATAGGCATATTCAAAACAGCCTTTTTAACTGTTTTCCCAGATTGTTGCATTTTGATGCAATTGCTTGGGCAGGTCACTAGCATTTTTTCCTTATTATCTTTTGCTTGCCGATAGTAATGGTCTAGGCACTGGAATCCAGTGGCAGCTGACTCTTAGGGGGAAGGAAAAGAAGTAAAACCAGCCAAGATTTCTCTACCAGAAGAGAACAAACCTGAAGCGAGGCAAGAGAGGAACAGATGTTTAGGTCCAAGTGTCAGAGACTGTGTTACGTAAGTTTTCAGGCACTTGGCAAGGGCTACTGACATATATTCCAATGTCGCAGGAGTCTGTCTGTTACTGTACGTTGTAACAATGCTTTTTAATTAGTAGAGAAGCTTTTAGGATATGGGCTTTGTCCTGCAAAAACTCTGTAAATGCCTCGTGTTCTCTTCTGGCACAATGCTGTCACTCTGGGCCTGGACATCCAGCCCTTAGACCACAGCTCGAAGTCCTGCTGCTTCTGCTTTGCAGCTGAGGAGAGGCTCGTGGACTAAGAGGGGAGATAGTGACACTGAAGTGAAAAGCGAGAGACATGGTAGAGAAAGGACATGTTACCCCTTCAAATTCAGTGCCACGCAGTTCTTAATTCAGAAACTCAGAGCAAGAAACCTGAGCAATCATTTAAATCAGTACCACTGGATTTGAGTGCCTGGACTTTGGCACTAAATGTGGTATTCATCTAATTGTATACAAGTATATTCGTTTATATTATATGGATATATGTTATACGTATGCCGTATACAATACATATATTTTATAATCACATCCAACTTTCAAAAACAACAGTGAGATTACGGGACAACTGACTGGGGGTTTCAGAACTGTTCAGGTTCTCTTTGGAAGCCTACTGAAAATCTGTGAGTGCCAAGTCCCTAAGCTACTCGTACACTTCTATAAATTCTCTCCTGTGTAACTCCACATTGAGGACTGAACTGAATTATATTAAAATGCCAGTGAATCATCTTTATTTTTAAAGGAAACTTTCATCTTCTGAAAAAGGACAAATTTAATTTATGAGTTTCTGTTGTATTTTCCTTGTATGAAATTAGTTAGCTGGAAAAAGTAACAGTGAGATACATTTTTTAAAAAGTACGTAAAAGGAAGGAGTATTTACTAACCTACCATTTTACCAAGCGCACTCTGGAATGCATCAGTGAAGGTGTTTAGAAGACTGTTGTCATCACATCGTGTTGCTTTGTACAGCATCTCAAAGGATTTGAACCCATGGTTTGCAAAACGATTTACTGAAAAATGTTGGAGAAATAAATTTTTACTGGTCATTGCAAGAGCTTCACAGCTAAAAGCAAGATCGTTCAGGCTAGAACTGGAATACACTAAGCTAAGAAGCATTGTCTTTAAATCAGCAATCTAAATTCCCAGTGTTGTATCCATGAAAATGGACTACCGATACTTCGGCCAATGCAGTTGAATATGACCCTTTGGCAGGCATCAAATTTATTGGGGAAGCTAACAGACATTAAAAAAAGGCCTATCATTTGTCTATTTCAGCATTTTCTTAATAGAAGACACCTCTAAGGTGTCAACTAAACTCCATACTTACTTTTTACAGAGAAAGAAGCAATAGAAGTCCTATTACTAATGCTGCTAGGCTAGCTCATCCAGAATTTAAGCAAATTGTAGTTCCTAAGTGTCCAAAGTTACAGATTTTGAACTGACAGATAGCTCTGAAAGGTAACTTTGATTTGCTCATAGCGGAAACACTTCTCTCTTGTTTGCTGAAACGAAGAAATCTAATCTCATGGAGGCAACACGGTGCCAAGACTGGCTTCATACGCATTTATTATTAAAAAGTTGCCAAAGCTAGGAAATTCCACAGCTGAGGTTTTGCACGTGTGCACCTCAAAGAAAATACCCAAGTACAGCATGCACTGTGCATTTGGGTCAGTAAGTTGCAAATATTATTGAAATTCCTAGTGAAAAGACACCGTGAGTCTCTGTAAACAGAGTACTTCACATACCAAATCATAATAGTGACAGATTTGTCTACTTTTTTCTTCTTCGCGATTCTGTGAGTCCCAGAATTCAAATTCACTAAAATAACACATTTAGAGGCTTCCAGGCATTCTTTCACAGTATTTGTAACAATTCGGAGGCAGAAGATGGAGAAGATTTGTTATCATTAAACAGAAGTCATAATTTCTAAAATACTTTCAGTTACTTCTTCCATAATGTTTGATGAGTTGCAGATTTGGTTGAGTAATAAAAAGACTTACTAGAGCAGCCAGGCCACTCTGGAGAATAAGGTGGCTTCCATACACCATCCTTATATGCACAATAGTAGTTTTCACTTGATCCTTCTGAAAAGCTGTAACCTTCTGCACAGTGCAACGTGCAATTAACTCCCGCTTCATCTGATGTGCATATAAAATCACCATTCACAGGCTCAAAGGAGATTTCACATGGAGAACCTAGGAAAAATACAACAATTTATGTATCGATGAATACGGTGAGGTAAGTAAGCACATAGGAAAATAGAACTGATAGGACTTCCAACAGTACCTATTATCAACCTGATCTTGCCTCTGTGGAAGTATTATTCATTACTTCAATAAATGCTCAGATCAGGCTACTGCTAAATTATTCTCAAACTTTGGCACTGGAATTTGAAATCCAGAAATGTGAAGACCTAAAAAAATTTGTGATACATATGAGAAGTTAAAAAAAAATCAGAAATGCAAGATTGAAACCCTTCTGTACTTCTTCTGGAAAGGTGCATACTCAACTATGTACTGACTAAAATAATACAAAACATTAAAATTTTACATTAACATTCATACAATGAATTCTATATGTAAACTATGGTACATCTTGAATTCTGAAACTAAACATTATCCATTCTGCACTACTGCAACAACACATGAACTTGTCAGAGGAACTGCAATTAAAACTTAGAGTTGTGATTTATTTTATGGGCAAATTGTGAAGGAGATTGTGAATGTCTGAAACCTTAAGTCACACTGAACCACAAAAAGTCTCAAGTGATGTAGAACTCAAAATGCTAATTCTAAGCACTGGGTTGTTCTTGCTAAGATTTACAGCAAATCAGAAATTAGCATATCCATTTGCATCCTACTTTTTCTAAAACCTATAACCAATATTCCAGTCTGTCTGATTTTAAATTCTCTCTTTGCTAACAAATTATTTTATACAGATGTGCAACTGAGATATAAGCATCAGAGAGCAGAGATGGATTAGATTTTTAATCCTTAATACTTTATTTGTCAAATTACTGTCTAGCCTTTAAGGAAGAAAGTGAACTGTGGGGAAAAGGTGTCTATGCAATAAACACAAATGCACCAGTATATCTATAGGTACAGACAGCTTCTAAAATCTAGAGTGCTTTATTATCTGCAACAATGTTTGTAGGCAATTGCAGAAATATTTCCATGAAGTTTTCCTTTTTCACTACAGATTTGAACTAAGACTTCAGTAACAACTATTAATTAATTTCACATGGTATCTGTCACGAAAAAAAGAAAAGGATCCTTTACCGTAAGTTTTACTGCTTAATGAATCATAATTTCAGTGATTTTACAACTAATCTGAATTTGTAGGACCAAACTCACTGCTGTGCTGCTTCAGTCTTAGACAATTTATTCAGTGGTACTAACAAATATCCTGACTGTCTTCAAGTTACTACGATATAAAATGGTAATAAGTAAAAGGGGAGACTAAATGAAAAAGTGGAGTAGCATTGCATCCTTTATGATACTCAGTTAAAACAATGCCACACACGTTTGACCAGAAGATTATGACAACAAACCTTTGATGACAATGCTGATCTCACATGTCCTGTTATTGCCAGAGGGATCCATGGCTGTATATCGAACTGTTGTCTCTCCCTTGGGAAAGAGATCTCCAGGTGCATGACTCCTAGTGACAGTCAGTGGAGCACCTAGAGAAGTTAAATACAGCCTAAAACATCAATAAGTGCAATAGGGTTGCTTACACACAACCTTGACAGATGAAGAAGGAAATGTCAGCACATCTCCCAATTTATGTGTTCTTAGTAAAAAAAAATCAAAAAATCCTAAACTCTGATGGATTGAGGGTGACAGGTTGGAGTTCTGAAGCCTTTCACTACCACATGCGTGTTTTGGGTGCACTATCTCACCTGAATTGTCTGAAAATTGTGGTTCTTCCCATGTTGCTGGGTGCTCATTCTCTACTGCTTGCATGGGTGGTGGAGATCTGCATCGGTCAATTACCGGAGGTTCTGCATCTGCAGAATTTGAAGGGAGGCATGACATTAGCTTACTGAACTGCCGCCACACTCAAATGAAATCTATCATCAGAAGAAGTAAGGCAAAGAGCAGTTTTAAGATCACATCAGAAGCTATGACAAAATTAAGTGTACACTTTTAAGCTGCTGTAACTGATAGATGCTGAGGGAACGGAGAAGACTAATTCTACTGAAGTCACGGTTTCTGCATCCTGTTTGCTTTCTACAGAGCAAATCTTGTTTAACAGGACTGCTGAATAACACAACTGCCTGGCAGAAATACTCAAAAAATTATTCCCATCAGCAATGTGCTGGAACCTTGGAAATTTTGTTGGAGTCTTTCAAGAAGATAAAGTAAGATATATATGATGAAGACCGTAAGTGTCAGCACAATAAAGCATTTACTCTACCAGTGTGAGGAGAAATCTTACCATTCAGAATCAACAACAGAACAAAACACAACTCAAACAATGACTGCACACTGCAAATTGTGACCCAAGATCAGCAAAGCATTTACGGAAATGATAATATTCCTGGACTTACACCTGTACACATGAAAGGCCACAGTGACTCACACTCTCTTTCGGCACATAATTAGAAGGTTTCAGCCACGACTGACTCTTCCCCAGTGATTTTTGCCAGCACTTACCAATAACCTTGACACTGAACGTACAGCTTGCTTCATTGCCTGACTTATCAGCTGCTGTGTAAGTAATGGCAACTTCACCAATCGGGAGAAGAAACGGTGGTATGAAAGCTGGGGTAACATGAACTGAGACCTTTTATAGGAAAACAGTCATTATTTAAAAAATAAAGCTGGTTAGTAATCATGACACTTATGTTTCAAGCAATAGCCAAAAAACAGCATCCTTCAATGTCAAGCCTATTCATTCTTAATGCAAATAGACTCTTCCAAGTAAAGAGGGCGGACTTTGCAGCAGAGTGCTCTGCTTCCCTTCTCAAGACTGCCTGCTTCATAGCAACAGGGGTTTACTCAGCCAGGAACGTCCTGCTGCAGTTTACAGAACTGTGCATTGAGAAAAGTCAAGACTGACTCGTTTGCCTCACTGCACTGAGCACACACTACCCCAGCTCACAACCTGCTCTGTCTGCAGTTCACCTCTCCAGCTGCAAGGGCAACAGACCTGGGAGATGAGTCGCAGACGACTGAGGGCTATAAGTACTTACATATCCAGTTTTAATCTACATATGTTTATGAGTCAATATCCCACAGACGCTTCAAAGCAGTCTGGCATGGCGAAGGAATCCTACATTTGGAGTAAATAACACATGCTGTCTACTTCTCTTTAAAAGAACTGGTTTCATGAGAACAAAGCAGTTCATCTGACAACTGTGGCTTTGACAAAGCAGCTACAATGAGGAGCTAAGGCATTTGGTTTCTACAGTCCAGTGAAAGACCCGGTGTCAGCAGCGCTACAGTACCTAACCATGGCTGTGCTGCAGCAAGAAATATGTGAACTTAAACCTCTTTTACTGGGATAGCTCAGTTTCCAAGTGCAAAAAACTCCTGTGTTTGCAGCAAATTAAAAGCACACACAGAGTCACTGTTACTCTGCTGACTCATGATCAAGCATTCAGTTGCTGTAACATGATCAGGTCTGAGCCTGTAGGGAACGTTACTCTTTATGAAACAGCTCTGGAGCGAGTTTTCCTTCTAACTCCATTTCCAGACCTCCGATACCCATAGTAGCCAAAGGCCCATGTCTGAACCCTGCACTGGAGACAAGAATGAGATTTTTCTTCTTCACTTGGGTAGCTGAAATGAGTTTTAACATATCACAGTGTGTTCTTGTTAGCCTTTAGATTAATGAATTGGTTTACTTCCTTCTGAGAAGAGTTTATTAAACTTCTTCACATTCTAAGAGCTCATTTTTAAAGCAGCTGTCTCCATCTTATAAAAAAGGACACATTCCTTCTTTTGACCACATAAATTAACCATATGAGATTTTATGCACTTAAGCACCATGCTGTGACTGCATAACCATAACTGAGACATAAAATCCTGAATTCTCAAGATACAAAATTTTCAGCATATTTTTCAGCATACACTTGCTCATCAGAAAAATAAATTTCAGTGGATCATAAAATTAATTTGAAATAGCTAGCTACAGAAAGACTGCCTTCAGACAGATGTACAGATTTTAACTTGCCTCATCTCCAGAGTTATCGTCAGCTGTTGGTACCTGCCAGCTGATATTAGCAGAGTTATGATGTTCCAGAGTCTCAGTCTCAATATTTTCTGGACAGCGTATCTGAGGAGCTTCAATATCTGATCCAGAGAAAGACAAACTAGTTTTATATGTGGGATTATAGAAATAAAACCTCTACAACAGTTATACTGCAACTTATAACCACTGGTGTTTGTGCTGCCGGGAATATAAATGCACATTATTTTTGAAAACTTCCTGTCTCTGCCCCTTTTTAATTCTTGCCTACAGGTTCACACATGAAGAGTAAATTCTCTGGGGAAGGGACTATTTTTTGCTGTGCTTCTGTACATCACTGAGGACAATGAGTCTCTGATTTCTACATGCAACTGTAAAACAAAGAATAAATAAGACAATTAATTTCTCTTATTACTCATCCATTCATTACACCCATACACACATCAAGAAGGAATGGCTTCTCTATCCTTTCACTGCCCACACACATGACACATACAGGTGAAAACACTTGTTTCTGATAATCAGTGACGTAAAAAACCACAGTATTTGTGACGTGATGTATGTACTATGAAGAAGACAGTAGTGACTCTCAAATGCCCTGGAGCATGGTGTGGAACCAACTTGAAAAAAGATTTCCTGCAGCAGCTGCTGGAAATATTCCTTAATAATCTCCTTCTATGAGGTATTATGTAGGACACGTGGAGTCCTCTTGTGACATATGTGACAATGCTGGATGGTTTCAAATGACTGGTGGTACAAGACAGGCAACATCACCAACAACATTTAAGACTCATATTTTTCTGACAAACTTAAAGTACTTCTTCATTTCCCTGGCAGAGGGCCTCCCAAAACATTTGTGGTCAGGTTATTTTATTGCTGTAGTGTTGTTTGATGAATGGTCTCTAGACCCATGAGACAAGGATGTATTCAGCTCTGAACTCATCTATGCCCAGGAGGCTTTAAAACAACTCAGAACTGATATCACTTATATTTTTATTACTAAATAGTTCCAGTAAAGACATAACTCAGGCAACTAAACCACTGTAATTAAGAGTACAAAGCAATAAATACAAGTGATTTTGCCTTCCTCTGAACTCATTCTGATGAAAATTTTATTAGAAATGCACTCTTCTAAATAGCAAAGAGTTATGGTTCACACTCCCCTGACCACAGCCTTCAGGCTGGGGCAAATTCCATTTAAAAGTGAAATTCTGTAAAAAGACTAATAAATAAGTCAGAAAGAAAATGGTTATTTTGAACTGGCCAAATATGTTGGCAGCAAAAGAGAGGGAAACAATAGGAAGAATGAAAGCAATTGAAATGCAACTGTTCATTTTTACTACAGAAGAATAACCTTTAGAGTTTCTTGTTGCCTCTAATTTTAGGATTTTATGCACTGGTAATATCCAAAAGCTTGAACCCAAGCCACGCTGCTTTATCTTGATCCAAACACTTCAGCTTGTAACCTTGTGCGTGGGATCCCATCAAATATTAAAAACTGTGGTTTGGCATAGTTTTACACAAAAGATGCCGAAAAACAATGTGGTACATCACAGAGTGGGAAATAATATGTTTAAAGAGGGGGATAAAATCTTCCTGGCTATTACAGAGAAAAAACTTCCCACCTCAGTTTCTGTAGTGATCTGGTATGATGACTGCCATAACTGTTTTCTGTACTGTTCTTTCACCCAGTGTCTGGCCAGGGCCCCAGTTTGGGGTAGAAGCATTAGTTCTAGAAGCACAACAGTTTGTGAAGAGTTCAACAGCATATTCCCAGATAAACTGCACTTTTGCTTGTATCCTTCTATAATCCAATGCGAAACTCCTGCCAACACAGTGTGCACGTGTGTAAGGGAATAAATAACCTAATCTTTCTAGAAGAGGTGGGTAAACATGACAGAACCATATTCAAACTCTTCTTCTGCCAATCTTTATACTCTGTGAACTTCTGTCAGCCTATTTTTGGCCTTCACTCTTGTGTACTGCTGTTAGGGGCATGTCAATATCCATAGTCAGTTCAAAGACAACTGAAATGAATCATCTCTCTATAGTATATATAGTAAATATGACAGCCAAGCTATAATGGTACAGACAACACTTTTTACAGACTGTTTCCCAGTTCAAACCTGTCCTCACTCAGCTACTTGCTGTGTGCTTCCCTTCAATCCCGCACACACGTACACAGAAATGAATTTGTGCTGGTCTCTACCTTTACACAGAGCCTCCTGGATGTTTTCACTCCATCTCCCAAATGAAATGCACCTTAATTCTTCTCTAGCTCCAGACAAGATGAATCCCTGGGGACAACTCAGCTGGCACACAGTTCCAGAAACGGCAGGCTCCAGCCCACATCTGGGAGGGAGGACAGTTACACCTGCTGGTTTCTGGAGGATGGGGCAACGCATTTCTACAAGAGACCAGTAGCACATGTCTTTTAACTGACATACACAAAGTATACATTCAAAAAAATCTGCAAATAAAGTCATATGGCAACTCAGAGGGAACACAAAATGCACAGACTTTTTATGAACTATGAGTGCATCAAAAGAGTAAGACCTGCTAAAGCTTTGCACCCCACTGTTCACAGAAGTAAACAGCACCCAGGACATCAGGTCTTCTATTTTCTTGATGTTGCTTCCACTGGGACAGAAACACAGTATTTTCCATGTGGCTACACTGTATACTCTCTCTCTCTGTTGGTCTTTTTTTTTTTTTTAATTTATTTTATTTTTTTTCCTTACAACTTCACTTTTCATGGTTGTTTTGTAGATGCTTCATTATTTACAGGCAATGGAAGACTCGTAACTCCTTAGCTAGTCAGTGACGAAAGCAGACAGGTGCACAAAGGGCACACAAAGAACAACCCAACACAGCTATGGAAGGGAAAGATCTGTTTGTCTGTTAGCAACGGTTTAATGACATAGAAGTGATTCATATTCAGAATGCCTCATATCCCTTTCCTCTACTCTTCCAAAATATGCAACAAGTAACTGAGAACTGTTTCTACTACATGAAACAAAATTTAAAGACTGTAAGTGTTCTAAGTATTTCCTGCCCTTTAAACTCTCAATACTGGAACCATGTTTGAAGTCCAAGCAATCAATAACTCTTCTTCATTCCAACAGGATGCAAACATCACAAATATGAACACATTCATTCACTTCAGCCAGACACTGCTGGCTATCTAACGTAAAGCAACCCCAGCAGAAAAAAAAATGCCAAACCCTAACTGTTGGTTGCTCAACACTGACAAAGAGCAGAAAGATCAGAAACTGGAAAAAAAAAATGTTTGAAAAGACAAGCTAAAAGCATTGAAACATATACTACTTAAGAAACATGCAAAAGGTGTTAAGCATGAAAACCAGAGAAAACTGCAGTTCTTCAGGAAGCAGTCACAACTCTTCTGGTTGAGAAGCTTCCAACTATGCTGGCAAAACCCTAGTGAAGCACAATCCTGAAACATCTGACAAACATTCAGGATAACCTTTGGTATATCTACCTAAGGGAACATCTTCTAAGTGGGACAGCGTGCTGGGTTCAGCCAGGAAAG